ATGTTGCGTGATCCGCACACCGCCCCCCGCTTCCCTTCCCCCCGCCCGTGCAAGTGCGTGCGTGTCCGTTGCTTGGTTCGTTTGGCTCCTGTTTCGTCCTCGTCTGCTTTAGTTCCTTCGCACGTGCAAGATAGGAAGAGTCGCCCTCATCGCGCTCCGCTGCGTGCACGTACGTGCGTCATCGAGCCCAGTTCTTTGTATGTACGTTGTTTGTTTGTTTGCTTTTTGGTTTTGTTTTCCCCCGCTTGGGCCGCAGCCTACACGGCAGTCTCCTGGAGTGAGCCTGTCTCTGCCTCCCTCCGCGTTGCCCCTTTCCCGCGCGCCGCGGAATAGGCAGCTTCACCAGCACAGAGGCCGCGGAACTGACCGTGGGCACACAACAGCTCCGTGAAAAAAAAAAGCACAATCGGATTTATATATTTATAGTTACACAATGTATATATAAGTGAATAAATACAGATGATATATCTAATATATATATATACATACATATCTACATACATGTATATATAACATACGTATATATCTATATGTAGTGGCGTTTACTCCCGTACTGGCCAACTCAAGGGCGTCGTCTCCCCTCTATTTGTGCACCAATCCCCACCCCCGAGCTCTCTGCCGGGCGTGCGAGGGAAGGCAATGGGCACGGAGCGGGAGAGGGAGAAGCCAGAGAGAGCGGCGAGCTCAGCTGCAAGCAACCAAAAAAAAAATTGCTTTCCTTTTTAAGGAAAAACAATCCAGAAGCAAGGCTGCACACACACGCAGAGATAGAAACCAAGAAAGAAAGCACAAAACACGCGTCGCTGCAAGGAAAAAAAAACACCCTACACCACAGTTTTGTCCCAAGTGTGAGGGGGAAAAAGGATATATTCCCCTCGACGCACACCACGGTCCCATTGAAGGCTACTTGGACAAACCGCCCACAGTCCTGCTGCCGTAGCGCTGACGCACGACCTCCAGCGCATACTTGTGCGCCATGGGGCGCAGTTCTAACGCGTTCCGCCGCAGCGCCGCCAGTTTCCAGGCACGGTACAACTCCTTGCCCTCACCCGCGGAAGCCACATCCCTGTCAGGTGAGCCGGTCTCATTCGACTGCTTCTGTGCCACGCCGTTTGGCGGCGTCGCCGGCGCCGACTCAGCTGCCGCAATGAGACCAAAACCCATGGACGCGGCACAAGCCGCATTCGGTCGCTGCTTGTTGGGGCTGTTCAGGGAGTCACAGTCGTCGTCCTTCTCTCGGTCGGATTCCACGACGAAGGCGGAGTGTCCCACACTCTTTTCATCATCGCAGCGTGACGGTGAGGGGGAGCGGGAGGAGTACACAGACGACGCGGATCTCAAATGAGGGAGGGCAGACTTGAAGGCAGCAAAATTACGGGCGTTGGCGGCTGCGGTGGCATCGATGGAGTCCGGGCACACGGCTGGGAGGTCGTTCACCCACAACCTCGGCGTTGGTGTGTCCTCAGGCAAACCGCCCCCATGGCAGCTCGCGGGAAACTCTGCGGCCGCGCATGCGTTAGCCGCTCCTCGCGTGTTATAGGGTATGCCGGCCACATCCTCCGTCTGCTGGGGCGAGCGGTGCGCATTCCCACCGTCTCCGGCAACCGGAGATCGCATCGGCACAGATGCGGTTCGGCTGGTGAGGGAATCTGCGAAGTCTGAGGCGTTCGGCCCCGCACTGGAGGCGGTTTGCGGGTGCTGATTGCTTGGGCGGCAATGGAGCATTGCAAGCGCACGTATTCGTTTCTATCGCCACGCAATACGTCTAAAAAAAAAAGCATGCGTCAAAGAAGATGATGACGAGCAAGCAGTACGGGCAGGCACAGACAGAGACGGAGAGGAAGACAGCACCCAGCACCGCCACAATCACCACGATGCACACACCAAAATAGTTATGTAGACTCACGTCGTCTCCGCCAAACCCTTCCCAGTCAGCACCCGCCCGTCGTGACCTACCGAGAACCATCATCATAATAGTGTCAAATGACAAGAACACAAAAAAAAAAAACAGCGTGGCACTAACACACGGGATCAAGTATATAAACTATACCCCTGCAGAATCGTATATAAAAGTATATATAAACATGCAATATATATATATATATATATATATATTACGCATTGAAAGTTAATTATATAAATAGATAGCTATATATCGAAATAGTAGGGGAGAAAAAAACAATCGTTCCTGAACTCCTTTAAGGAAAGGAATGTCAGAAAAGAAACAATCAACAACGGGTAGAGGGGGGATAGTGATTGGTAATTTGTGTAGCATATATATATATATATAAGATGTATAGTAGAAAAAGAACAGAAGTGACTAAAACAAAGCAGTAGAAAAAGGCGTGAAAGTGCACTCCCCCAAATGCGTCCATTCCGTCGTTTTCTAGCCGCATCTAGAGAGGCCAAACGCTTATATAAAGAAACATATATAGAAACATAGGTACATGGAAGTGATGTGGAGATTGGCAACGTAACAGTGGCTCGGGTAGAGAAATATATATATATATATATGTATATATATGTATATAGTTAAAGGCAGATGTGTGTATAACTGGCGTGGGTCACGTTCCCTGTCACTCTCTGACTGCGCTTCTGCTCTGCCGCAGTGGCGTCGCCCACCTTCTTTCCCCGTTGTCGTGTGCAGGCGGACGCAGGGGCCCCGTTGGGGAAAGAAGACAGGAGCAGCAACGGCCCAACGCCCAAGAGAAAAAGAAAGGCATGGGTAGGTTCACACGTAACGCGCGCCTAAGAAAGAGAAAAGCAAAACAAAAATGCAAAGTTTCTTTTTCCTAAAGGAAAAGAAACACGAGGAAAAAAAATCGACCTGTAACAAAATAATAACAACAATAAAAAAGAGGGAGAGGGAATAAGTGAAGGGGAATAGCGAAAAAAAAATAAATAAATAAATAAAATAAATAAACAAATAAATAATAGTAACAATTTGTGTAAAAGCCGAAGTCTCACGATGAGACAAAACGTGTTTGTTGTGCTTGGCGTTCTCACACAGCCAGTTCTCTCGCGCACTCGCCGCAGTAGGGCGTAGCAAAAACCGCGTCCTTTCATAAAGCAGAAGAACTCCATCATGCTCAGCACATTTCCTTCCTAGTTAGATTCAAACCCCCTCACTGAAAGTTGCGTCTATTCATGAAGCAGAAGTACGCCATAATGCTCACCGCATTCTCTTACGTTTTTATGGTCAAAACACTATACGCCTTAATGCCGATACCCCCACACTCCCTTTTTTCTCCTTCCCCACGTTGGATGATGCGAAATGGCGAGCCAACCCTGTGGATTCTGCGCACATTCGCCGCTTCTTCTCACCCGCTCCGTTCCGATGTACACTGTTCTTCCGCTACTCCATTCTGGTGTGTTGGTCGTCGCCGATTTCGTTGTCGTTCGTATTGGTTTCAATTATTTTCGATTCGCTTCCCTCCCTCTCCCTCTCCCCCTCCCTCTCTCACTGAGTCGCTGCATCCACCACCCACCCTCCTTCCACCCACCTGCCACCTCTCGTTGCTCAACAACCCGATGCCCCCACCCCTTCTGCCGCAGCGCGGAATCCGCGCGCAGGCGCCGGTACACGGGTAGAGACTGGATAGGGGACGGAACGAAAAGCAGGCGGAGGTGGAGCACGTAGTGAACGAACAAACGCAGCAATATATATAGACACACACCCGCACGCACCCCGAAAGAAGAAAGAAATAAAATAATAAGATGAACAATGTTCTCAAACCGGAAAATCATGCACAAATCATTTTTAGAAAGAAAAAAAATGAGCGTTGGGCCACAACTCGACGTAAACCAGCACCAAGCGGCGCCCTGTGCCTCCGCTTATAATTATGGTTGCTGCTGGTCTCGTTGTGGTTACTTCTGGGAAGAGGATGTGATCCTCTCCTCAGTGTCCCGACATTCTAATTTCCTTTCCTTCCTTTCAGTTTTCTTTCCTCCTCTCTCTCCAGCTCATTCCTCCCCCGTTGCGAGCTGCGCGCCCTGCGCGGGGGCACTAGTGGCCTCTCCACGTGCGTCACGGTGTCCCGCTCCCAAGACGTGAGAAGCCGGAGTCGCCGGGGAAAAGGGAAAGCAGCGCGCAAGAAGAGTCGTGCCTCTCAACCCCGCCCCTTTTTAGCCAAGTGTGGGAGAGGGGGGCGAAGGACACAACGGGCGCCAATTCCACCCCGCATATGAAGAAGAGTAAAAAGCGGCAGAAAAGAAAAAAAAAGAATATAATGGGCAGACGGCTCAAAAAGAAAATAAACAAATAAAACGCCGCCCCATGAGACGTAAAACGGAGAGGAAAGAGATATTCACTTGTGCAGAAATGCTGACGGCAGCCGCACTTTTGTGAAAAAGGGCTTTGCCAACAGCAAGCCTCCACTCTCTCTCGCTCCGTTTTTATTTTCCTTTCATTCTACTCTTTAACAAGCACGTGTGCAGAAAACACGGCAAGAAGGGTGAAAAATGGGTACACGGCGGTAAAACACGAGAAAATACAAAGCAAAGGAAAAATAGGAATAAAATAACGGTATGTACAAGGGAAGTCATATTGGGAAAAGTTTCAGTTTTGGAAAGAAGTGCGGGAGTGGGGTAAGAGAGGGTGAGGGAGGTTTAAAGCAAAAAAAAAAGAGAGGGAAAAAAAGGATAAAGGGAAAGGAAAGCCCTTAGCATCCGTCCCCAGAAAAAAAAAACAGAAGCTAACAATAATAGTAAAAATAAAAACATTATAATTTGTAACAAAAATATCACTGTGTTTTGGAGTGTGTGAAATGTCCATTGAGCCGTTGTCGAACAAGCGCCAAAGATGCCCTGTGTGCTCCACGGCGGATAGCAAAGTAAGTCTCCGGATCCAAACACTTTTGGCGTAACCTCATCCTATCTTCGAGCTCACTTCGAGGAGGCTCCGTGACACAGCCCCTTTCTGCACGCGACAAGGTCTCCTTCTCTGTCTCTCGCTTGCCCCGAGCTTCATCGGAAGGGAGCGCGTCCGCCGTTTTGGCCTTCACCGTCTCTGTTACTTTTTCTGGCACCTCCACGCATGTCTCACGCTGGGCAACGCCAACAGCATTCAACAAATTACTATTGCTATTAGCTGACCGACATTGCAACGCAGGTTGGTGACCCCGTAGCTTGAGAAGCTCTACGGGAGCCAAAAACGGTGTCACGGCATGCCCTTTCTCAGAGAGATGCTGCTCTTGCCTTGGACACCCCAGCGAGTTACTGCCCCGCGTCACCCACAAATCCTCAAAAAAAGGATAGATGGAGGGACGTGGTAAATTTTTGATGGCACCTTCCGGCGCACACGCTGATTGCGTCGCTGCACAGTGAGAAGATTGGGAAGAGGTGGCTCTTGCGGACGGTGGTGACGCTTCGGTCCAACCAACGCGCTCCGAGGTCTGAAAAGGGTAGGAACCCCACAATGAAGACGACGAAGGCGGCAAGCCGCAGCCACACTCCCTGGTGCCGTTAGCACTGCGTACTCGCGTCAATGTATCCACCTCGTCCCTGAGAGGGAGCAAGGAAACTTGGCCCTCGCTAGGCGCAATGGCCTCATCTCCGCCAAAAACCACCCAACACTCATTAAACACCGATGGAATTCCCTGGTCAAAGTAAGCCGGAAGGATTGTTTCAGAAGGTGTTTCTCGGTCCTGCGAGGCCGCTATCTCCCCCCCAGTTTGCTGGGTTGATACGTTCGTCGCTAAGCACGAAGACTTACTCGGGACCTGCGTAGATGAAGAAGCGGATTGCTGGTCAAACGCCTTCGCGTAGCTGGCATCGGACGGCACATTGCAATCCGTAAAGCATCCGTCGTCATACATTAATGGCTGTTTGCCTCCAAAAGTTCAAGAAATAAAACCTGTTTCGTAAAATAACGCCTCTCTTTGGAAACTTCACAAGTACGCACACGGGCAGATTCCCACGCAAATCCTTTTTGCTTGTCGCACTTTTCTTTTGCGTGTGTGTGTGTGTGTGTCTTCTCCTTATTTGGTCAATACTTTAAATTTTTTTTAAATACCCACTAAATAATAAAAACAGGTTCCAAAGAAAAAAAATTGAGTGCTACTGATTTTAGTATTATTTCGGGTATTGTAATTATGGCCTATTTTCTTTTTCTTTCGCCCCGAAAAAATATATGTCCCAGTTGCACAACTGTCCTGAGCCTAATATTCTATCCTCGACTCCAGATATTTTCGTTCTTTGTCTTCTCCGTGCTAGCGATGAGCGAAAAGGTAGAAAGAAAATAAAGAGGAAGAAAAAAAAAAGAATTATTAAGGAATAGTTGTCCATAAATATATCTATAAAAGGAGCAGAAAAAAAAGAGCGAATACGCCAATAGTCTCTGTTTTATCTAGGATAACAATGTGGCATTGATACAGGAAACTTCGAACTGGCATTCATCTACAGAAAAGGAAGGGAAAAGGTATCATTTTTCCGTTTGTCTTTTTTAAGCCAAAACCATCCCACCCATGAAGTTTTTCCCCGTTGAACTTCGTACGCAGAGAAGCACACACATACGTGAGAGCATCGGGTCATCTCACCAACCCAGCAAATACAAAAAAAAACAGTAACGGAAACAGAAACAGAAAAGAAAGTACAGAAGCGAAATAAAACCCAAAAAGAAGAACGCAGTGTTATCCTCAGAATGCCAGATTCTCGCTGAGAGGCAACTCCGCTCCCTTCCTTATTTTTTCTATAGGTCTTCGTCGAGGCAGGTTTTCATAGGGTGAAGAAAAATTCCACTTTTTTTGCTGAATGTTCATCATTGAAGTAACTTCCTCCAAACGTCTTGCAATTCTGCCCAGGGTTTTGGTATAAATTGGATCCAAATCCTTTTTTCGTACAACACCTTGTAGATCATCGTGATTTTGTGGATAGAACTCAGAGGATGTAACCGTTGGTTTAAAAAATTCGGTCATAAGAGCCACAGTATCAACGCTGTTTATGGATGTATCCCGTCCCTTCCCTTCTTCTAATTCCTTGATCTGCATCTCCATTTGCTGTACACTTTGCTCCTTCATCAGCAGCCAGCGCTCGCTATCGCGAAGAATGACCTCATCGTGTTCAAGACCCCTTGCTTGATTCTCCAGGGAAAGACGAATTTTGTTGAGTAATTGTCCTCGTTTGGAAGAAGCCCGAATACCTTCTTCCTTCGCAGCCCTCACATCTTGCTTCCATTTGTGTTTAGCCATTTTAAGTTGGCGTCGGCGTTCCTCCAAACTCAGGCGCTGAATCTCCACAAACCTTTTCCCTTCAGCAACTCGTTGGTGCTCTCCTGCAAGAAGCAATTTTTGTTCCTGGAACGAGACAGGAAGTCCATCAGTGTCTTTTTGTGTATTTATTTTCTTTACTTCTGTTCCAGGTGGAATCGATGCACGCGCTGTATAGCAGAATGGTTTCTCGTTGGCCCATTGCGCGGCTCCAGCAATAGGAGTACAAGTCGAAACCGCAGCGGCAGCACTTCCAGACGTCGGAGCAGAAAAAATAAACGGCGAACCAGCAAACACGTTGCGAAGCGCCTCTGTGAGGACAGCAGTGAGGCTGTCCTTCTGCATGTTATCTTGTAAAACAATGTTTAGCCGCTCCTTTTCCGATTCCTTTTCCTCCGACTTCGCCTCGGGAGAAACCTTACCATTTCCTTGAAGGGAAATCATATCCTCCTTGTCTTCCGGTGAAGGTTCAAAACGTAGATGGCGTCTTTCCCGCCAAACCTCATCCAATGTTGCTTTCAGCTCCTCTTCCGCGCGTTGCTTGAGGTCTCTCTTAACATCCTCTAGTTCTTTTCTTTGAACCTCCTTCATATGCGCAACGATAGACTCAAATAACTCCTTATCCGACCGAACTTCCACTGTATCTTCTTCAACTTGAACACTCCCTCCCTTACTTTCCGGAACAAGAACTTCTCCTTCCTCTATTCGTCCCTCTATCCTGGGGCATTGTTGGTAATCTTGTTTTTGCCACTGCACTGCAGAAGTTACAGAATGCTTCGAAGTTGCATTGTCCGATAGTCCATTTCGTTTATTTGTCAACGCCTCAAGTTCCTTCTCGTATTTTTCTTTTTCTTGTAATAGCAATTTGTGTTTCCTTTGATACAAAACAAGTTCTCCCAAAAAACTTCGTCTCATGTCTTCTACTTCTGATTGAAACGAATCTTTGATGATATCTAGTTCATTATTGTATGATTCCTTGGCAGTGCCTATCAGTTTAGATAGCGTCATTTCACTGAGTTTTGAGAAACTTGCGCTAGTATTTGTTAACTCGTCAAGAAATTTGTATTGGGCTCTTTTATACGTTTCAATGAAACTTGAAACATTTTCCCAAAGTTCATCTTTGTTTTGTTTCAATTCCGCCAGAGTTTGAGTGTTTGAATAACGCAGTATGTCTAACTCCAGAGCCTTGCTCTTTCTCAAATCCTCTAATTTTTCTTGCCAGGCCCTTTCAATACTATGTTTTTCTTTTTCGTACTTCTCGTTCAAGGAATGGCGTATACGTTCTGTCTCTAATTTTAGCACCGCCTCAACCTCCTCAGTGAGCTTCCGAACATTGTTGGTATAATCCGCTTCTATGCTGTTTTTTTCTTCTATTAGCTTCCTTTCTAAATTGGCCTTGTAGTTGGTTACTTTCTTTTCATACTCCTCGGTTTTCCGTTTCCGATAGAGCTCCCAGGAATCATCCAGCTTCATCTCATATTCTTCTTTTGCAGCATGGTGTTTTTTAGTTTTTCCTCTTGAAAATGCTTAAGTTGATCATTAATATCCGCTTCAAAAACCGTTTTGTCAGAATTTAAACATTCCCCAGCTCTTTCGGCGGATACAGTTTCTGTAGCTTTTTTTAGGATAGAGCAATTTTTACCTCCCTTTGTTCTCCCCAAGATGATGGGTTCTAAGCAACGCTCATTAGTATCCGAACCAGGGTTGCCACCTGTCTTTATGTTCAAACACAGATCACTTGGAAGTTTCTTCTTCAGCTTGAGTGATTTCAATGCCCGAATCTTTGATTTCCCCCCAGCAGAAGATCCGCATGAATCTGTAGTTTTGTTCTGTTCGGCCACGGTTTCTTCTTCTGCATTGACCTCAAAGGGCGTCCTTTTCGCTCCATTGGCGACACTCTGCGGACTAGGACTCATTTTCTCGTTCTTAAGTAGCTCCCTGAATTGCTCGTCTAGTGGATGGTCCCAGTTGCTCTCACCCGTCTTGAAATTAAAGTAGTATAAGTCCCCTTTCTCACTTCTGCAGGCCTTCCAGTGCTCTGGTAAAGGAGCCTTCAAACCCTCTCGTGCAATCCAAAGAAAAGGCTTGTCTTCGGGAAAATTCATGCCGAGCCACTTCCCATATTCAGTAATTTCCGCTTCAGATGGCTCATAGTTGTCATTTGGTACAGAATCTAGGACCACAGACATTAAATATGAACGATGGACTTTTGGATAACAATATTATCTCACTGCCACACCCACATCGTAATGTGTTTTGGAAGGTTTACAAAAAAAAGAAATAAGAAGAGCATAGAGGTGTAGATAAGCATTGAAATAGGAGACGTGAGGAAGCATCGAAATGGCCCAAATAAAGAACCCAAACAAATTTAAATATTAGCAAGGAGAATCCAGAAAAAAAAATGCAACAGCAACGCGATTGCCAATCGATTTATATTATCATTATTTGTTCCTCTACTACCCAAAACGACTTCAGAATACCTCCTCGCCTTCTTCGCAAAAGTGGAAGACGCGAAACGATTTCCTTACAAAAATAAATAAATAAAGCGAAGAAACTGTGGCATCTCACTTTACTTTTTCTTGGGAAAAAAGAACCCGAGAAGAATGAAGAAGAAGAAATAGGAAGCACTATCGCCCTCGAAAATTTCACCGCCAACCACCGCCCCCGGCGGCCGCCGGGAGCGCGAACACTCGAAACCGCCCCAACCACGCAACCGCACACGCACACGCACGCCGATGGCGGCAGCGCGTCGCAAAACGACCCTGAGCCCCGGCAAAAAAGGACCGCACCAAGCCAGGCTCTCTCCCGTTTCACTGGGCCGACCCCGCGCGCACCGGCGGAACCTCGCCCGGCCGCCGATCTTCGACAAAGGACGGTTTGGGCGCTGTTTTTCCCTTCCTTTTTTTGATTCTCATAATCCGACGCCCGTTGGCTATGCCGGGTCCAGCCGGGAAAGCTGTCACCATAAAAAGGAAACAAAACGAAAATGAATTCATTCTTTCTTTTCATTTTATTGCGACATCACATTGAAGAAAAGAGTGTGTGTGTGTTTTTTTCCGGTTGTGGGAAAATTCCGATGCCGGGGATCGAACCCGGGTCTAGCGGGTGAGAGCCGCTTGTTCTAGCCACTATACCACACCGGAGATAAACTGCGAGAGAGAGGAAAGACGGTAAGAAACAAGACGTGTTCTTGCTTCGGTTCCGCTTACAAGAGAAAAAAAATGCAAAGGCCGCTCTCATAGCCAAAACCGCGCGTTAGCACACCCCGCGCCGGCGAAGAGAAAAAGCACCCCAACCCCCTCTGGAACCCCCCACCAAACGTGCGCACTGTGCCCGCCCGCCGGATGATGCGCGGCAGACCGACACCCCCCTGCCCCGTATGCTGCAGGGTGTTCGTATCTATTGCAAACATGAAGCTGCACGCCCGTCGCGTTCACGCAGGAGTCCGCTTCTCCAGGAGGGCCTCCAGTGCGGCTACTGCGGGAGCGGCAAACTATTCGTGACGAGTGCCTCGCGCGCGGGTCATTACCGTAAATGCCAGGCGTACCAGCTGGCAAAAAGCGCGCGGGGCACCGTTGCGGAAGGCCCGGAGGACCTCACCCTTATGGGATCCTCACGGCACAGAACCCACAGGCCGATGTGACCCCGGACGGGCCCCGGGAGACCTTGTCGCATCTGCTGTGGGAGTGCCTCTTCTCCGTCGGCTGAGCGTGCGAGTGTTTTTGGGGAGGCCCCGACCCGCCGGCCCGCTCCGTTAGAGACGGCTAAAGCGGCCCGGTTCTCGCGGGCAGCCCTCGGGCTG